TTTGTCTTTTAAAAACACTTTATGTTTACGAGTGTTTGCCAGCCAATATGTATATCTATGTGTATCATGTATGTAAGTGGTACCTGAGAAGGCCAGATGAGGGCATCAGACCTCCTGGGACTGGAGTTACAGATGGTTGTGAAACACCATATGGATGTGCTACAAGCTACAACATTATATACAGTAATTGCTCAGCTATCTTTTCATGAGCAACTTTATCGGAACCAAGGGATCTGGTAAAGGCTAAACCAAAAGGCAAGACTTTTTGGCATTATTATTTTGTAAATAACGTGTCTGTCCTTTGCTGTAGTTTTTTTTCTGCTGTAGCTAACTCCTTTTCTGTTACATATTTGGGGGTTAATTCCCACAGCTCAGAACTGTTTAGTGATAACAGTTTCCCACTGGCCAGGCCCTGTTCCTCTCTCCTAGGTAAGTGCAGAGATCTGCTTTCCTGTAATTATCTTTATTAGCAGGTATTTAGGGTCCAGGCAAAGAGCATCCAATCTAAGATATTCATGGATCTACAGAGACATAGAATTACTACCTGCCCAAGATGCTGCTCTGGGTTTACCCAACACCACCAATGATCAGAACGGCTGATAACAGCATAGCCAGGAACTGATAATTTAAAGGCCTGGGTCTCTTCTTCGCTTAGAGCAATAAATCTAACTCCAGACCTAGGCCCATAGAAACTGCAGCATCTGGTGTATGTGCTATCTGATCAAGAGCCCTCAGTTTCTTCCTGACTGTTTACATAGGTTGCTTGGTTACCTGATTCTGTGCTTGATGGGAGAAAAGAAGCGGCACACTGATTTAAACAATCCGCCCTATTCATAATTTTACTGAAAGTAAACCTTTTAACCTTTTATCTACCACCTAAAAATGTAGCACAGCACACTACTAACCTTCCCCTCCACAATTCCCTGATGATTTAATTCCATTTCTTAACTAATTTTCTCCATTAAGGAGTACACTGGACATGTACTAGCCATTCCTGTGGATCTCTGTCTCTGTCTGTCTGTCTGTCTCTCTCTGTCTCTGTCTGTCTCTCTGTCTCTGTCTCTGTCTCTGTCTCTCTCTCTCTCTCTCTCTCTCTCTCTGTGTGTGTGTGTGTGTGTGTGTGTGTGTGTGTGTGTGTGAAAACCCTTATCTGATTTTCTGTGGGGCAGAAGAATTCCGGCCCTGGTACCTGCTAGGGCTGGGGAATTGCTGGTTTTAAGGGTATATATGACTGGTAACATTGGTAATGAGGACAAGGTAGAACAATGCAGAACTAAGAACAATGTAGAATAAGGAGAACAAGTAACAGGTGAAACAATGAGAAATGATAGATTAAAGAGAGAAGAACAAAGAAACACAGATAAGCAAATTCCTGTTGTGAGGAGATTTCTTACTCCTCAAATCTTTACCCTCAGATTTCTAGCCCCCCCTTAGCTATTTGTGGTATCTTTAACTGAACCCTGAAAGGTAGTCTTAAAGGCGAAACTTCTAAGGCTTTCTATATGGATGCTGGGAATTGAGCCTGGATCTTCTGCAAGAAAAATAAGTGCATCTTTGAAAAGTGAGAGTTTTTTTTTGTTTTGGTTTTTTAAATGAATATTGTTGAGTGTCATTTTAAAAAGATGGGGTTGAAGAGACAACTCAATGGTTAAGAGAGTACCATGTGTGTGTGTGTGGTACCCACAAAGGCCAGAAAAGGGAGTTAGATTCCCTGAGACTGAAATTTACTATGTAGATTCTGGGAACTGAAACTGGGTCCTTTGAATGAGCAACCACTGTTCTTAAACAGAACTATCTTTTCAGGCTTGCAACTATTTTATTGGATTGACTGACTGATTGATTTTTTTGTTTTTGAGACAGGGTCTCTCTACATAGCCCAGAGTTGTCCTAGAACTCACTATGTAGCCCAGCCTGGCCTCAAACTCACAAATGTCTACCTGCCTCTGCCTCCTGAGTGCTAGGAATAAAGATGTGTGTCACTCTGCCCACTGTCCAATTATCATTTTTTTAATGTTTATTATGTGTATGAGTACTTTTTGAACATACATGTCTATGCACCATGTATGTGCTTGGTGCCTGTAGAGGTGAGAAGAGGGCACCCAATCCCCTGAAACTCGAGTTATGAACAGCTTTGAGTAGTCATGCAGGTTCTGGGAATTGAACTCAGGTCATTTGTAAGAACAAGTGCTCTTAAATGTTGCATCATCTCTCCACCCACAATTATTACATTTTAAATGAGTTTAAATGAGTTCAACTTGCAGCCCTGAGGCTATATGCATCCTAGGATAAATCTGAATGCAGTCTAATACATTTTTAGATGACATACCAAAATGTCAAAAAGTTGAACTGATAGAATAGCCACAAAGGAAAGAATTACAGAATATACAGGATTTAGAAAGAGAGAAAAATCACTATGGAAAACTAACAACAACAGATAATAATAATAGCAACAGATAATAAACAACAACAAATAATAAAAGGAGCAAAGGACCCACATGATTATAACACAGTAAGTAGTACGTATCTATGTGTCAATGAAAATTTTGAATGCAAATAGTCTAAAGTCTACAGTTTAAGATCAAGAGGTCCAGTGAGATGACTCAGAGGGTTAAAGCTCCCGCCATGCAAGCCAGACTGAGGTCTTGAATTTGACCTCATGGTAAAGGACTCCCAAAACTTGTCTTGTGACCTCCACACACATGTTGGGGCATCTATATGAGCCCTCTGTGTGTATACACACACACAGTAATAGTAAATAAAAAGTTTACGCTATAAAATGGATGAACAAATGCATAAAATCACAGGATCCAACAATACACTGCCTACAAGAAACTGACTTTATCTATAAAGGCACACAGACTAAAAAGTGAAGAAAAATATTCCAAGCAAATGTAAGCGAAAACAAAAGCATGAATTATATACTTATATTGGATATAAAAGACTGCTATGAAATAATGCTCTTGTACATTGCCAAGATTTGTCACTTTAATTGGTTTAATAAAACGCTGATTGGCTAGTAGCCAGGCTTAGCCAGGCTTAGCCAGGCAGGAAGTACAGGTGGGGCAAGAAGACTAGGAGAATTCGGGGGGAAGAAGGGTGGAGTCAGTCACAGAGGAAGCAAGATGAAAATGCTGCACTGAGAAAAGGTACCAAGACATGTGACTGAACCTAGATAAGAATAATTTGTTAATTTAAATGTAAGAGCTAGTTAGAAATAAACCTGAGCTACTAGCCAAACATAATTAATGTAAGCCCCCTGTGTGATAATTTGGGAAGTAGCTGCAGAATGGGGCAGGACAGAAACTCACCTCCAACTACAAAAGGCTTTAAGTAAAAGATCATAAAAAAGACAATCATTGTATAATAATAAAAGGATCAAGTCAACAAAGTACATATACACAACTAACACTGGAACACATCATCTATATAGGAATTATTACATCTAAAGAAGAGACAGTGCAATCTGGTAACAGTTTCAACAGTCCAGTCAAAGTAAAGGGTGTATCATTCAAACAGAAAATAAACTTTGGCTTTAAACTACACTCTAAACCAAATGGACTTAAAAATGTTTTAAAAATTCCACCCTAAGGCTATAGTGCACACATTTTTTTTTCCCTTCAGTGTAAGTCTTCTGATTAGGACATATGTTAGTTTACAAAAAAGACTTAACATATTTTAAATACCAGAATCATTTCAAGTATCTTTTCTGACAACAATGGTATATATAGAAAATAGAAGAAGGAACTTCAGAAATTATAAATACATGGAAATTAATGTGTTGATAAACAGCTAGTGCATCAAGGAAAAACAATTAGAGAAATTAATTATTTAAAAAAATTAGGAACAGAAATACCATATACCTGAACTTATGGTACATAACAAAACAACTCTAAGAGGGGAGTTTATGCCAATAAATACCTACTTCAGAAAAGGAAAAAAAAAGATTGCAATTAGGCAACCACGTATTGAATTGAAGGAATTAGAAAATAATATGTAAAAAAATAGAGTAGACAATATACTTCTTAAAGGATATGAAATATTAAGGAAGCAAAGAGCTATTGTTTAAAAGGACTAAAAACTAAGAAATATTTAGACCAAGGGAAAAGGAAAGAGTCAAAATCAGACTTAAAGGTACACATGACAATCAATACCACAAGAGAAGAGCTATATAAACTAAGATTAACTAATTTGAATAAATGAATAGGTTCTGTATATGTACAACATACCAAGATAAAATATCTATAAAAAAAAGTAGTCTTAGGACCTGACGCCTTCATGGATGAATTTTACAATTATTTAAAAATGATGAATATTTCTCAAACTATTCAAGAAAATTAAAAACTCAGGGAATTGAATCTATGAGACAAGCATTCCTCTGATACCAAAGCCCAACAAAGACATAGCAACAACAAGACAAAAATAGTACAGGTCAATATCCTAGATAAAAATATTTGCAAAAATTCTCATCAGTAGCAAGCTGAATGCCACAGCCCATTAAAAATATATTCACCGTAACCAAGCAATACTCATCTCATGCATGCAAAGATGGTTTAATCTATGTAAAACAATAACATGCATTACAGTAATACAAGACAGAAACAAGAGGTAGTAAAAGTAGTTGACAAAGTTCAACTCCTCATGATAAAAATTCTAAAAAGATAAAATGTCTAGAAGACATGCATGTCAATATAATAGAGCCAAAGTATGATAAATCCACAGGTAACATCACACTAACTAACGAAAACAGAAAGCTTTTAAAAGATGTGGAATAAGCTATGGATGCTCTTTCCCATGACATCTGTTCACTATGATACTGAAAGAGAAAGAACCAGAGGGTATTCAAACTGGAAAGAAGTCAGTCCAGCATTCACTGTTAGCAAACAGTATAATCTTATACATAGAAAACGCTGAAGATGCAACCCCCAAATCTGTTAGAACTAATTTAGTGAAGTCACAAGATACAAATCAACATACAAAAATCAATAGTTCCATTATTCTTTTAAAACATTTTATTTATTTTTCCTGTGTTGGTGCCCAAACCTAGATATTTGACTTATAGAAGATTTAATTTCTGACATATATACATAGAACATATGATATATAATAGTTATCTCCAACTTTTTTACTGTAGTAAAATTTATATAATTTCACTATTTTATACATTTCAAAGTGTGCAATATAGTGTTTCTATACACTAAAAATGAACTATCAAAAAGAAAATTAAGAAAATAATCCTGGGACTGGAGAGATGGCTCTGTGGTTAAGAGTACTACTTGCTGCTCTTGTAGGGGTTGGTTTCCAGCACCCACATCATACAATTCACAACAACTTGCAGTTTCAGTTCCAGGGGTATCTTCTGACCTGAAAGGGCACCATACAAGGATATACATATGAACAAACACACATACATATATAAACAAAAACAAAAATTTAAAAATATTTAAAAGAAAATAATACCATTTCTAAATAGCTACACAAACACTCAGGAATAAATATAACAGAGGAGATAAAGATTTTTACACTGACAAGTATAAAATATTGATATTGATTTGATTATAAAAACTAAAGGTAATTCAAATAAATGAGAAGATATTCCTTTTTATGGTTTGAAGCATTAAAATATTGTTAGAATATCCCTATTGCCTGAAGAGATCTAAGAATTAAACATAACTGCTATCAAAGAAACAAATTATTTTTCACATAAATCGGAAAAAAGCTAAAATTTGACATCATAAAAGACCACAAATCATTAAAGCTCTAAAAGAGTAACACTGAAGGTATTACACTATATGACTTCAAAACACTACAAATCTATAGTAACCAAAACAGCATGATCCTGATATAAAAATAGCCACACAGACTAGTAGAACAGAACAGAGAGTCCAGAAATAAACCTATATAGCCACAGTCACTTTGATGTCACTGCTAAGCACGGACGCTGGGGGAAAGAAGTCTCTTCAATAATTGATGTGGGGGCTGGTGATGGCTCAGTCTGTAGCAGTGTCTGCTGCCAAACCTAAGGATCTGAGTTTGATCCCTGGAACCTATACAGTGGAAGGAGAACACAGTTCCTGACATTATCCTGTGATCTCTACACACATACGTGTATGCATTTCAAACACACACGTATGCACATGAAACACAAACTGTAATGAAAAGCTAATGCAGACAAATGAAACTCTGTGAGCATTTGAAAAAAATCATTAAAAAAGAGTAAGGACTAAACTATGTAATAGGAGAAAGGATAGAGGAAATATTTTACAATAGTATACTAGGCAAGGACTTTTGTGTAATAGAGGGAATAAAAAATTATAGAACAGGAGAAATATGTGAAAACTGTACATCTGCCAAGAGATTAAACATCCAGAATATATAAGAAATCCAATTCAATAGCAAGACCCAAGTAATCCAGTTAGAAACATGGCAAAAGACTTAATTAGATATTTAAAAGAAGATATGAAAATGGGCAACAGATATATAAGGCAGAAGAATGAAAAGTAAAATCATAAGAAGATATAGCTCATCCAAACAGAATGGCAGTTATCAAAAAGACAAAAGATAGTAAGTGCTGGTGGACGTATGGAAAGAAGGGAACTCAGTAATAGCATGAATGAAAACTCGCAGATTACTGGATAAACTATAGTGTTCCTTAAAACAGGAAGATTAGAGCTGTTGAGTCGGCTCAGCAGGTTAGAGTACTTGCTACCAAGACTGATGGCTTGAGTTTGATCTTTGGAATGCACAAGGTGGAAGGATTCCGACAAGTTGTCTTCTCAGTGCCCCTCCCGACAGACAGACAGAAAGACAGACAGACAGACACGCACACATGCATACATGCACACACGCACGGGGTGGGGGAGAATAAAAGTTAAAAAAAAAACAAAATCAGGAAGATTAAAAAAAGAAGACATGAAATCAGTATGTTGATGAGACATCTGAACTTCCATATTCTTTCCATTACTAGTTGCAAAAGCCAAGACAGAGGCCAAGCTAGGTGTCCAACAACAGATGAATGAAGATGTAAATTACATGCACAGTAAGATATTTTGTGACAAAAAGTCCTGCATTTGAGTTGCCATGATGAACCTGGAAGGTATTACGTAAAATGGAATGTTAGATACAGAAAGACAGATTCCACATGATCTCACTTGTATGTGGAATCCACAGACTGGTGAGGGGAAATGGAGAAGATGAGAGTTGAGATGCACAGTTATAACTGGATAGGCAAAAGGTTGTCCTTCAATTGTACATCATAATGACTATAGCTAACAACAATGTATAATTGAAAATACTTGGGAAAATAACTTTATCATTATATAATTCTATATTATCAATAGCAGACTATACCCAATAATTGTATCAGTTTTCTTTAAAAAATCAACATCAAATAACTTAATATTAATTTTTAAACAAAACTTCCACTTTCCTTATCTAGCAGCACTTTTTTCTTTTTAAATGTTTATCATTCTATAGGTTTGCATTTTTCTATATTAAGGAGAAAATCTGATACTTTCTTTACAAATCAGAACCCCTGTTTTTGGTTGTTTCCTTTATATCAAATAAGCAACCATATAAATAAGTCATGACTTTCTACATTTGTAAGTTTTCAGTATAGACCTGAGAACTTCTCCGACTTCTATCAAGAGATTATGTGGGTGGTGGTACGTATTGGAACCCTCAAGAAAGAATGAACTCTTATCATTTAGTAGAGGAAGCTGAGGGATGTGATGATAGATTGATCTTAACTGTCAAGTTGAGATTTAGAATCAGCATGGAAGCAAACCTTTAGGGTAGGTCTCTGAGAAAGTCTTTAAATAGGATAACTGAGGAGGGAAGACCCACTGTAACTTGGTAGTACCATTTGCTGGGGTAGGGTACTGCTGAAAAAGAAGAAAGGTCTCCGAGTACCCCCATTTATCATTGTTTTCCTACTGAAGATACAATGTAATCTGCTGCTGCCACTATTACTTCCTTACCATGATAGACTGCTACCCTCAAACTTTGAGCCCAAATAAACACTTCCGTAAGTTGCTTTTGTCTGTTATTTTGTTTCTGCAATGAGAAAAGTAGCTAATTTAGGGGGTCTGGAAAAAAGAGTCCAACTAACAGCTAAGTTATCAAGGTACCCAGGTCCATTCTCCTTCAACCTTAGCCCATTTGGTAAAGATACAGCTAGTTGATCCCAATCTTCTGGGTGAGTATCTAACTAAAGTGGCAAAGAAATGTTTCTCCCCAGAGTTTTCAGAGGATGCATAGTTCTAACAACTTGATTTTGGATTTCTAGCCTCCAGAACTATGGGATATAAATTTGATACTGGAGATCACAGTTTATGGTTCTTAGTTATGGCAGTCCTAGGATACTGGCACAATGCCTACCTAATTCAGTCAATTTGAAGTTCATCGTGATGATTTAACTTTCTTTTTGGAAAATACTGACTAAAAGCAAAGCTACACTTTGTTTCCAACTTTCTTATTGTATGCAGATCAATACAACTTCCACCATTTTGTCCGTTGTAAAGTACACAATTCAGTGGCATTAAATATATTTGAAAGTGTGATTGCACGCATATTTAAGAGTCAGGTTTAGCTTTGGCCAGTAAGAAAAGACAAGAGTGAACAAGGTCTTAAAGGACATTCTCAAAGTAAATTTTGATGGTATCTAGGGCTGAGTATTTTTGGCCCAGCAAAGGCCAGTAAGATTTTGCCTTATTCATATTGAACTTTTGATAAATTACAGGAAAAGTAGGAGTTAGTTAAGTGTAAATACACTACTACTCCCAAAAAACCCTCAAATTTAGTTTCTACTGATAAATACAATTTTCACCTTCATAATAAAACTATATATTTACCTTTTATGTTGTCTTAGATGGTAAACTCTTAATTTTAATTATTAAAACCACAATAAACTGGCTAAATCAATTTTTTTTTACAAACACATTCAACTTTTTTTTTTCCCTTAAACCAACTTTCCACCGGTTCTGAGTTTCCTGAGATAAATTGTTAATCTTTGAAACTGCTGCCTTTCTTCTACCACCCAGAAGTTTCCTTGACACTTGATTTCAGAATGAAATTTGAGATGTTTCTATACTGTAATAGTACTGAAAGTCTACAGACTGTAATACAGCAACTTCACTTCCTTTGCAGACTCCTCTATACCTGAACCTCAGTGTCACATCCTACAGAGATCCTCCTTATGAGTTTTTACTGCACATCTTAGAAACTGCAGCTTTCACCTTTTCACACACTTTACAGCCTCTCTTTGGCATATTAAATTACCACTAAGCCCTTGGTACTGGGACAGCTGCTCTGATGACCAAGATGAATGTTCTGTGACTAAGGGATGGGCTGCTTAGGTAGGTTGGGCAGGGCGATGTTTCACAGTACAGGCAGTCCCAAATGGATTACATGTGATTCCATTTACACTAAGAATGGTGTGTATTTTAAACTTTTGAATGATGTACTTTGAGGCATTTTGTTTCTCTAAATTTTTTATATAGAATATTATACATGTATGCAACGAGATATGATCATATATACTCTCTAACTTGAAAAATTTTCCATTTAATATTTTGGACCCTAGATATGTGGAGAATTGGAACCACAGAAAGCAAAATTGTGGAAACTGGGGAGAGTAAAGTTTTCTCTGTGTAAATTCTAATTGTTAAAGCTTATGGAACTTGGGAGAAGAATATGCAAAGTAATTGGCACCATTTTATTTATTTATTTATTTTTTCCGAGACAGGGTTTCTCTGTGGCTTTGGAGCCTGTCCTGGAACTAGCTCTGTAGACCAGGAAGACAAGCATCTACCTCATTATTTTTCAGTAATTAGTACTAATATTTAGTAAAATATAACAATCCACGTAATCTGAAGACTTACTTCATATTCACCATACTCGGATACACTTTAATGAATTTGAGACATAGTTCAGTGGTAGCATGCTTAGTGTGTGTGAGGTCCTGAGTTCAAGCCACAGGACAGAAAAGTAATTAATGTAACTCACCATTATTTCTATAGAGGCAGAAAGTCCTCTGTTCTGTTGCTGATTTGTGAAAGTGCTAGGTAGCTTCCCCATGAATAACTACAGTATATTCTAAGTTGGAGGGGGTGCTCATTTATTCTATTACCTTCTTTAAAGTTGGAAGGAACCTATCGATGGGCAGGTTTAGAAGTTACTTCTAAATATTAAAATTTTCAAGTCATATATAATTTGCATGCATCACGGAATAAAATAGGCTTGAAAGCTCATGATGTGATCGGCTACTTTATTTCTTAGTTGGTCTGAGAGGAATGATTCATTTGGGCACTTCCTCATTTATGTCCCTCTTCTGAAACCAGGGTCTTTGGTAATAATTATGGGAGGCCAGTTCACCATCTGGCTTAAAAATTTAATCCACTGTCAGAAATACTAGCTATACATATCTTCAAAAGCTTCATTATTTTACCCTTCCTCAATTCCATCCTTCATTCCTTTTGTACTCTATGATTTAAAGACACAATGGGAACCTTCAGAGAACAGGGTTGAATATGTTCTAACCCGAACAACACAAACTCCATAGAATCATCAAACCAACTCTGAGATTTTGTGTCTGAGCGTGGATTATTACACATTTTTGGCACTTTTTTTTATGCCTCTAGTTCTTACTATGGTGAGCAAATGAGAAAACACACTTTAAAAAAAATTAAAGAGCCATGAAAGGGCAAATCTACATAACACAAAGGTGATGAAAACATTTTATGAAAAGGACACGGAACTAAATTGACCACGTTTTCATGGCAATTTCATATTTCACAAATACTGAAAGGAAACTTAAATGCCACGGCAACTGATTGTGCTTCCAAGCGTGGGACACAAGCCCTCATTCTAAGTAGCTGGATGCATTTCACCCAGAAGCGCAGGTCATGGCTCGGATGCTGAGGGCCACAACCAGGGTACGGCAGAGAGGAAGCGACGATCTCCACTCCACACGTCCAGCCGCCGCCGCCGAGGCTTCCTTGGCCAGGTTCCTTCGCTAGGCGGTCTCGGAGAAGGGGCTAAAGCCCGGCGAGACCGAAATCCCGTCTGGGAGAGCTGACTGTGGGTCACAGCTCAGGCGGCCCAGGGTCAGCCGCCTCCGCCCACGGGAGACACTTGTCCCAGCAGCCACCGTCTGCCGCCCAGGCAGCTCCCGCAGCCACCTCTAGGTTCACCCGCGCCTTCCACGAAGCTGAGCCCACCGTGCGACCGCACCAGGCGCAGAGCCGCTCCCCGGCGAGCGGGCCGCACCGACGAGGCTGCAGGCTCGGCGGGGGATTGCTTCTGTCTGGGGCCCGCCGAGAAGGCTGCGTTCGTGCCTCGCGCGTCCCCGCACCGCGTCCGCCCAGCCAATCCCGCGCTACTCGCGCGCCCAGGAGCCTCGCTCGATCCCACTCAGGCTGGGCCCGGCTTCTTCCCGCTCCCGGCACTCGACAGCCGAGCTTCCTCGCTCGTTCGCTCGCTCTCACTCCTCCCCTCACTCTCCACGAGTTGCACGCCTCGGGGTGTAGCTCCGCCCCTGTCCCCGAGCCCGCCCCCGCACCCTCCAGAGCGTGTGCTCCCTGTTCCCCCCGGTCTCTTCTTGCCATCCCGGCGGCTCGCTTGGGTCTCACTCCGCAGAGCCTTTCGGGGGTCGCCCGGCCTGGCCCCGCCGACTCCGCCGGCCCCGTCAGGGAGGCCACCGCTTCTCCCGCCCCAGGCTCGCGTCTTCCACGCCGGACTCGGGGTCGCGCGGCTCGACTCCGCCCCCTCCGCGAACCCGCGCACTCCCGGCGCGGCCTCTCCCCCCTCCCGTCCAGTTCCCCCCCACCTGGCCACCGGGCGCTCGGCCCCCTCCTTCCCGCTCGCTCGCTCGTCCGCCTCGCGCTTTCCTAGGCAAGCGCGCTCCCGGCCGGCGCGCTCCGGGCTCCGGCTTCTCCCGGCTCCTGTCAGTGCGGTGACTGCGCTGGGAAACATGGCGACCGAGGGAATGATCCTCACCAACCACGACCATCAAATCCGCGTCGGAGTCCTCACAGGTAACCGGGGGAGGAGGTCCGGGCCCCGCCACACTCAACTGCCCTCCACTTGCCGGAGGTTTCCCTCCTGGGGTGCTGCTCCTCTGCGGCCTCGGGCAGAGAGGGCAGGCTGAGGAGGGGGACCAGGAGAAGGGGGGGTGTATTTTACAACCGCTGAGAGCTGCGGGGCAGTCGGGTTGTCCCCGTGTGTTCCCGGGGGAGCTGGGGCAGGCCGCATGGGTGTCAGGCCCCCAGAGCCCTGGCAGTCAAAGTCTCTGGCCCCCGGGGACCGAGGGGCCGGTGCGGCGGGCGCTGCGGGGCTCCGCGCTGCCGGTGCGGGCGGCGGGATCCCGACTCCGCAGTCTGAAGCACGCTGCTCGGGCTTGGCCGGGCGCCTCCTCCACTAAAGCTCTTCCGAGAGGGGGGAATCCCATCTCCACCCCCTTTGCTCCCCTCCCCCCACCCAGCGGCCCCGTGGCATCTGCCCGACACGACTCCGGGGTTCGGCAGGGGAAACTCTGCTCCGCCTCTGCTATCCCTTGGCAGGCCGGGTGTCCCCCTCAAGCAGCCGATGGGACGCTCCTCACCTCCCCCGGGAGCCAGGTGATAGGCTCTAGTCCGGGACCCCGGAAAGTGGCTTCCTTCTGCTTTCCCTAGCAGAGGGCCCTCCCTCTGTCTGCCTCTTCTCCTTTGCAAGGACCGGCTGCTTCCCGTGGCCGGGAAATCCAGTCCCTTTTTCTCGAGAAAGGATTTCCCCTAGTAGTCGGGTTCCTTTCTTCCCCTCCCTTTTGGGACCCCCCACCTTCACCTCCCCACGACCCGGTGGATGGTCCTGAGACTGGTGAAGAGCGCACTTTTCCCGGGTCGCGTTTCCCTCCCTCGCAGAAGTCGTGTGTGCTTTGCATGTCTGATTCCATTGCGTTGTATTTGGGTGATACCCCTGAGTTTGGAGATAGGCAGTTGCTGCAGGGCATGACTTCCAAGATGAATAGCAAGCCTATTTGTAGGGGTTCTGCTGTGGTTCTGTAGTTGGCATGGTTTAAGCGTAATTGAATGGAGAAGCGGGGGTTAAAGAATTCTATTTGGAGTCTGAGGCTTAGTTTGGAGTAAAGGAAATCCAAGACTTAGAGAGATGTGATTTCGGAAACAGAAGCAATGTAGATGGGAACCCTAGTGTCTTTCCTACTTCATTTAAATTTTTTTTCTTTCTGTCGAATTCTGACAGTTTGAGATGATGCTCGGGAAGGAACTAAATGGAATGAAACTTGCCTTTATTATTAGGTAGAAACAAACCTTTGATTCTGCCAGCAGATACCGATTACCATGCTTAATTTAGCTGCCGACTTTTATGAAAAGAGGATACCCACTGCTCCGGTTTCCCCTTCTCGGTAGCTGAATATCCTTTCCATGACATCTCTGCAGATGTTAAGAGCAGTTCATTGAATTTTCCCAAGCCAAAGCCTCTGGAATAAAGAAAGTGATCTCAGTCAGTTGCAGGGAAGCCCCCTCCCCCTACCCCCCCCCCCCCGCATCAGAATATGCAGATTCTGTGCCTCTTTTCCTGAAGCTACTGTTTCCTTGTATGAAAACTCAGTTGTAGCTCACAGTTCTTAGAACTGATCTTGTGGACTTTAAAAGAATCTGACAGTGCGATGTAAAAGTGCATACCCTTTCTCAACCGTCAACTTTTAATGTTGGCCATGCCTTGAAAATTAAGTCGAGGGAAAGTGAAATTGTACAGAAACCAAAATATGCCAGCTGTCTGTGGAAATGGAGAGGCCCTAGGTGTTTAAAAGTTAAACTGTAGGGTTTATTTTTATAGAGTATGTTTTGTTTATTGACTCGTAACTCTGTCTTTTTATTTAATTATCTTAATTTGGTCAAATGATGATGCATAGGTGCTGCACAGGGTGCTTTGAAGCTACCGCCTTTGTCTAACTGTGCTCTGATGGAAATAACCCTGAGAAGTAAACAGTTGAAAGGATACATCATTCGTGTATAAAAGCTGTCTAAATATATTGCCTATGAATTTGGGTCGTAAATGCTAAAGTGATTCTGTGTTCAAATTGATTAGCAGAAAATTGTGATTACCTGAAGGAAAAATTTAGTTCATTTAATAGGGTCAAGAAGAAACTGACATTTTAAAGGGGAGTCGAAAGTCAGTGGCAGCACCTTATAAATAAATATGTGATTGAAGATGAGGCTCTCGAGCAGAATAAAAATGCAGCAGAAAGGCCTTGAAAAGCCCAGGTGGAAGAGGTAGGAGGCATAATGTCAAGGAGAGATGGTAAGGTTGGCAGTGGAGTTAGAGACAATTTAGAGGAGCTATCTCATGAGGATGGAGTACAGTAGTCTGGGAGGAAAAGTCTAAGACCAACTCTAAGAGTGTAGCTGGAGAATGAAAAGAAGCTGCAGATTTAGAGGAGGTGGTAACAGGACAATAAGATTTGATGATAAAATGGATATTTGAAATCAGAAATAACTAGGGAGTTTTCTGATATAAATACAGTATTACTTAGTATGATAGAACCTAAAAGCACGAAGAAAAATCAGTAGAAATAGCATTAACCGCCAATCTGTGAATAGTTGATTTTATGGCAAACAGCTTAATTGTATTGGGTTGACGTTTGTTTTGTGATCTTGAACATTGGGAAAACCATCCTCCAGAAGTGAAGCTGTGTTGTTCAGATTCATGGATTTTAGAACAGTTTTACTATGGTTGATTCTTTCCTGAATTCTAGAGTAAATTAAAAAGCTAAACTTGAAACTGTGATTCTTGCAATTTATAATTTCTTCCTTCTTCTTTAGGCAAGGCTATATAGCCCAAGTTAGCTTTAAACTCTATCCTGCCTCGATTCCTATCCCAAGTGCTGGGTTACAGGTGTGTCATCACATCCAGCTAGTTTTTTCTAACTCTTTCTTTCTTTCTTTCTTTCTTTCTTTCTTTCTTTCCTTCCTCTCTCCTTCCCTCCCTCCCTCTCTCCCTCCCTCCCTCCCTTCCTCTCTCCCTCCCCCTTCCTTCCTTCCTTCCTTCCTTCCTTCTTTCCTTCCTTCCTTCCTTTCTTTCTGTCTTTCTTTTGTGGGTGGAACAATTTGAGACAGGGTTTCTCTGTGTAGCCTTGGCTGTCGTGAAACTCACTCTGTAGATCAGGCTGGCCTCGAACTCCAGAGTCCTGCCTGCCTTTACATCAGGAATGCAGGGTCTAAAGACATGCACTACCACCACAACCACTGGGCAGTTTATGACTTTCTTAAAGGTAGAAGGGATGTTTTATGAAAATGCCTTGGTGCTGGACATGATAGCGTATGTCCATAACCTCTGCACGCGTCAGGCTGAGGAAAAAGAAGGACCTCAATTTAAGGCTGGAGTAGGAAAAAAAAAGTCTTAGCATTTTTCACAATAGTAATTTTAAGTGTTTTATCTAAATCTGTTTTACAAAGGTAGAAGGAAATGTGGAATATGGTCTACCCCTATAAATGTTTTTTAGTGTGTCTGAAAAAAAACTGTATTTGTCACCTCTAAAGTTTTTAGTTTTTAATTGACTTCTTTATAGCATTGTTGTTGCCTGTTTAAAGACAGTATTCTCTGAAATTATTCATTACCTGGATATTTCTGATCTCCATTTCATTTATGAATTTAACAAATATAGTACAGTCTGGGCAGCTTATCATATGAATTAATTTTCTTGGAATTTGAAAAGGGAAATGTTTAAGAATGGCATTTCTATTTTGTTTGATTATCTTGAATCATTTAGGATTTAAAAATCAGCTTGTGTTAAAGTAATATTGTTACTTCAGTTATACTGTTTATTCTTTAGGAAAATAGGAATATATGTACATGAAATTAGATTGTATGTCTTTAAATTTATCGTGTGTGTGTGTGTGTTCATGTGTGTGTGTTTGTGGTTTAATGGAGCGTGTGTGGTCACAAGGTCAGAGGACAACTTTCAGAAGTCAGTTTTCTACTTCTACCGCGTGAGTTTTGGGGAACAAACTCAGTTGCCAGACTTGGCAGAAGCAACTTTAGCCACTGAGTCTTCTCCTATGCTGAAACATTTTATGTTGAAGATTATGTACCTCTTAGAATAAATATATTACTTGTCTTTATCTGATGTAGATTTGTAGGAAAGGAAAATTATATAGTCTTGGTGACCTAAGTCTAGTATCTAATGTTTCTTTTTCTAATGTTCTCTAATTGTTTTACTATTTATAGCAAGACTAGTGATAATTTGATAATGACTAATGTAAGACAAGTAAACAAATACCTGCTGCCACAAAACTAAGGGCAGATGTAGGGCAGATGTAGAACCTTCTTAGCAGCTTTAGTAGTATTTATACTTGGAGTCTGCTATGCAATTACATAGCAGGCAATATATTTTGTATGTGTCATGTTTCACCTCCTTTTTCCTGTTTGGAAAGAAGCTGTTTATCAAGGCAGTAAGTAGTTCTATTACTTTAAAACCTCTATAACAATATTGCCAGGGAAATAATGAATGCTTACAACAATGTAGAGTCATGGAGATTATGGTCCACTGTGGATTTAGTATTTTAGTAGGTAACACTGATAATGTTTGGTATCAAGGTAATTAATTAAAGAAAGATGGTAATTCATTGCCTAAATTTTCCATAAGAGGAATACATGTTAGGAAAAGATGAGCTTTTTTTGTAAAGGGCTTTTTTTTTAATTTTTATTTTTTATTATGGAACTTTTATATATGACTTAGGTTGGTCTTGAACTTGGAATCTCTTGCCTCTGCATCCAGTGTTAATGATTATAGATGTGTATATCTGCACTTGGCTAGAAAAAGGCTTTTTTTTTGCTCTAATAATTATATGCTTCCACATTAAGTTACAGATTTGAAGTCACTAAGATATTTAAACAAAATAAGAGTAGCAGTAGGAATTAAATAAAAGCTAGAACACAAAGACATTAGAGTTATATGACCATTTAGTATTTCA